TGAGCAGCCTCCGACGCCCGGGTCGAGCGCTGGCACGGGACGCCGCAAGGTGCCGAAGCCAAACCGGGACCCCGATTGTTACCGCGACGCCGTCACGGGCTGCGGGAGGGGGCTGTGGGGATCGTGCCCAAGAGCCGCAGGGAAGGGGTTCAGCTCTGGGGGAGAGGAGAGGCACCCCGAGATACCCCTGCTCCCCCAAAGCCAGCCAGTAGTGTTGGGAATGCACATGACAGCTCCGGCAGCCGTTTCCTTTGAGGGCTGAGGACAAATTCCCGGTCTCCGGGCTGCCACAGATACCTTTGGCTTCATCCCAGTCTCCCGGCGGCTCGCGGGACTGGTTTTAGCGGGTCACGCACATGGGGAACACAGCCCATGGCGTTTTTTGACCGGGATTCAGGGGGTACTATTCAATTGGCATTTCCCTTTTGGAAATGGGACGGGGGGGAGCGCTGCAGCGTTCCGGAGGGGAGCAGAGGACGGCACCGACGGCTCAGCAATGCCATGAGTTCATCTCCCCACACAAAAACACCCCAGTGTTTCTCCTTCCAAGCAGCACGATTTTTCAGGTCAAGAAAGAAGGGATTGGAGGCAGCCCAGCCTCAAAATATCCATGAAGGGATAAGTCAGCTCTCACAGACGGCAGGGAATTGGAAAAGCTGCTCACAGAGGCGGGGGAAACCACAGGGATTTGGGTCTGTCACTGCACCGCAGTGAGCAAACGTCGGCCGCCGTGGATGAGAAGACAAAGCAGGAGCTCCAGTAGTGTGAAACCAAACGGTCTGTGTACAAAACTCCCGTCCGGGGTCATATCCCTCCGCTCGCCGCCTCGGGAAAGCCAGGCTGACTTATCCCTTTTACTGGTGGGTGCTCAACGCCGCGGCCGGAGTCAGGATATCTCGTTGCCGAAGACCTCGAGCACCAGCGGCGTGAGCTGCATGCTGTGCTCGGGCTGGAAGGAGAGGCAGCGGTACTGCTTGGAGTGCTCCTCGTTCAGGCTCCGTAGGTCGGCCAGCTTCTGGATCATCTTGGCGTAGAGCAGGCGGCTGCCGGGAGGAGGGTGCCTGCAGCGGATGTAGGTCTGGAGGATCTCCGAGAGGTGATCCTGGAGGGATTCCACCAGCGAGGTGTCCTGCACGCCTGGGCGATCTAGGAAACACCATGGATGCGGGGTGATTCTCTTCCCTTTTCCCAGCCGGCCGCAATGGAGCGGCAGGGAGAGGTGACATTTTTGGGGATGAGCGCTTTAGTGCAGCCAAAATCTGGCAGGTTAGTGACCGTGGGAGATGAGCGTCCTCCTACCTGGGGACAGGATGCAGATGGCCATGAGGAGCACGTGCTCTTCTTCGTGAAGGTTCAGCTTCTTCAGGCCAACCTGGAATTTCACGAGCGGCTCGAGCAGGTCCATGCTGTGGCCAGCTGGGAAGAGAAAGGACCTTTAGCACAGCCTGCTCTGCAGCAAGATCTCCCGGAGCCGAGGGATGAGCGTGGAGCTCGGCAGCTCCTCCTTCAGCGCAGCAGAGCGCCGGGAGAGCGGAAACCAGCTTTTGATACAGCTTAAAACACGTTGGTTTTTAATTGTACTTTTCTCGCCGGTAGTTTCTCTAAAGCAGGAGATTATGGAGTAGATTTTGCTTTGGAAATCTAGAAAGACAATGAACCTACAGACATTTTGCCTCCTTAGCATCACTTCCACACCGCAGTGTCCTGCACAAGCGTCACAAACCCCACCTCGCGTGCCCAGAGCCCTCTCCCAAGCAGATCTCTTTCCTCTCTTCAGCGGGTGCCAGCTGCCCCGTGCCCGGTCCCAACACGCTGGTTCCCCGGGGATCTCGCCGAGGGATCTCTGCATCCCCAGGTTACTCTACAGCTCTTCCAAGCGCCGGGGGAGCCTTAAGGTCCGTATACATCATCTTCACGCCGCCTTCTCTGTGCTAGTCCCCAAATCTTAAAAGTGAGGGAGATCTAGGGCAGGATTCAGCACCTTTCCCAGCAGATGGGCTTCCTGGCTGCCGAGCAGCGGGGAGGCACGGCGGCTTTCCAGCCCTCACGGCAGCTCGGAGCAAACTCAACTCAACTCAAACTCAGGGCAGCGGGGCTGGAGACAGCTCTGAGCCGCAGCCACGCTCTGGCTTTGCCTCTTTTCAGCAGTTAACGGCTCTTGCCGGCCACTCGGTCCGGCTGCAGGATGCACTCGTGTCACAGCGTGGGGCTTGGGAGATAAACCGGGCATGGCTAACGCCGGGACAGGGGTCACAGCCCAGCCGTGGCGCTGCCGAGCTGCTGACGCTGCCGTCTTCCGCAGCCGTGCAGCCTGCCAACGCATCCCTGCTTCCAGACTACTCGGTGCGGGGTTTTTGCATCTGAATTTAAGTCTGGGATGACGTTTCTTAGCAGGCAAAAAGCAGGAGAGCACCCAGCAGCTTTTACCTTGGGTGACATCGCTGATCCTGTACTTGAAGTCAGTGCTGCCGCAGGTCCACGTCATGTCCTCGAGGGTGAAGGATTGGTTCGAGCGCAGCATGATCACCTCAATGGCGCTGGATTTCAGCAGGGCGATCTGGTCCTCTGCTGCCAGGTCCCTGGGCGGGGGAAGAGGGTGACGTGAGACCTGTCTGGTGAGCCAAGGAACAGCTCACGCCGTCCGTGCACCAGGTTCTCCATCAGTAACCCGGTCCCTTTGCTGGGGGCACCCCAGCTTCTCCCTCACCCCAGCTGTCTACGTGATTAAGCAGCAGGTATTTCTGCAGCTACATTTATTGGGTGGCAGCACCCAGCACCACAGGCAGCAGCCTGGGGTTAAACTGGACCTGAGGTCCTTCACAAACCAGGATGGGGACCACTCAGATGGTCTCAAGCATCTTAGGAGCGTAGGCATTTTGCTGACAGTCTGGGTGAATCAGGGTGAAGATAGGAGAGGACGGAAAAGGAGGAGGGACGGAAAACATGAAAGTAGGAACAGACCTGGGAAGGGAACAGAGCCTGAGGGACAGCCGTGAGGATAAAGCAGAGAAGGACGATCTGGCTGCGAAGGGTAGGATGGGATTCCTGAGAATGGAAAACCGCCGTCGAATCTGGGAGCAAACGTCTCACCTGAATCCCGGGATCATTTTGGCAAAGCCGATCACCTTCTGGATGCTGTAGCTGACCAGGTCGGCCAAGTGCGGGAGCATGGAGAGGTGGGAGAAGTCGATGTTCATGGAGGAGCTCTCGTCGTTCTCCTCGGAGAGGACCAGGTTCGAAAACATCTGTGGCTCCACAGACTCTGGAGAGAGAGAGGGAGGGAGGGTCAGAGGGTACCTGGCTTGTGGGCACGACATTCCGGGTGAGGGGAACGATGCCAGGCCGCAGCCGGAA